TTTACTCTAGAAGAAATTTTGGAAATTCGTTAGGATTCTGTGACCTCTCACCTTCCTTAAATTCTTCTAAAGAGTGTCAAATCAAGCTACTATCTTCTCTGTCCCGGATAATCAGCAGTCATCTGTCGGATATCCAATGAATACATCAATCAAGAGTGATTCACTTGCCCTACCTATCCACATAGAGACTCTATAAATTCTGAAGGATTCAGCCGACAAGCCACACTCTCAAAAGCCTTACCACACAGACCTCTCTCAAAACACACCATGTCCTTTAACAATGCTCAGCTCCGTCCTGTTGTGGTATTCAAAAATCAGGGCTTTCGCAACGCCATCGTGTACTCAAGGTACCTTCGTTGCTTTCGTGATCGCCCTATTTATCCATCCTTTACCATCTCTCCTTCAGCCTTCTCCAAGTATGACATGGATATCCCATCCCTAGTGGCTGGGTTAGGATGGAGTTCGTTGACTGAGGATCAACGGTTTCTTCATTGTCCTGAAGCAGTGAGGCTCTTCTACGTGAATATTCGTCGTGACCGTGGACCTGAGCCACAATCCTTCACCACCATGGTCTATGACCATGAAATCACTGTCACACCTACCTTACTTGCCTCGGTCCTTTCTCTACCTCACTCTGGGATTCACGCTAGCTGCGAGAGTGATTTTGTTGAACATGGGTTCGACTTCTGTACTGCTCTTGACGGAGTGACCAGGGACATTGGCAGAGCCTTCCCCACTCGACTCTCAGCTGGTCGTCTTCCTGACGACCTCAAGGTCCTTCATTTCTTCATTACTCGATGTTTTCTTCCCAGAGATGTTGACAGTGCTGGTCTTCTCCACTCTGATGATCTCTGGATTCTGAGTAATGCTTGTGCTCGCCAACCAATCAGCTATGCATCATTAATGTTCGCTCACATACTCAAGTTTGGCGGTGGCGGTTACAATGGTGCTCTACCCTTTGGACCTCTCATTACTCGCTATCTGCATCGCTTAGGGATAGATCTCCGGGATAAGGTGGCTGTGTGCAACGTTCATGAGGACTTGCGTCCCAATCATGTTCTCGTTCGCCTTGATGCCGACGTGGGCCGACGTAAGCTCGTCTCTGGCTCAGGGGGAGACACTGCCCACTGCCCCATTTTCTCTCCTGCTGATCCCATCCCTGACAGCCTTCTTCCCGCTCTAACTCAAGCTGCTGTCTCAGCCATAGATGGTGAGGTCAAACGAAGAAGGGAAACTGGTAGTGGAAAGACTACTAGTCTCCTGGTCTGCAAAGAACGGTTGGAACTCATGGAGTTTGATGAAGTAAGGCCTGCTCCAGACGACTTTGACCCAATCACTCCTGACTCGAGCTCTGATGATGAAATCTCAGACTATGAGTCACCTCCTGGTTATTCTTTCTAGAGATTCGATGGTGGTACTTAGGGGGAGTCACAAGCTGACTCGGGAAGTCTGGTAGTTCGTTTAAGTCTGTGTTTGAATGGAGTCAGTATTGAGTCATGTTCTTATTGATGTTCTTGTTGATCGATTGTTGATTTGAATTTCGAAGCTTGTAGTTCGGTTGAAATAATTAATCAGGAATAAAAACTTCCCTTGTCACATTGGCCAGCACTTTTGCATAAGAACAGACTGCACCAAAAGTTTGTTGAGTGTGTGCAGGAAAGAAACCAGTGCAGTGGGAAGAGCCATTGACAAGCTTAGGGGGAGCATGTTAAGGGAAGCTCGTCAATGAGGAAAGAATCAACAAATCAAATCAAGACCAAGATGGAAAGTCTCAAAGAAGGAAACCTGGAGCTAAATCACAGCAATTCAAACATCAATCAGACAACGACTACTTTGAAGAGAGCAGACTATATAACCATGAGGTTGAGAAATGTAGTAAAGGTGGTTTTCGGGCAAATCAAAAGAACAGAGTGCTTAGTGAAAAGAGTCAGACTTTTGATAGAAAACTGGGTTGCTAATCGGAGAGAATAGCTAGTAGTGCTGAGTGAACAATCGGGGAGATTAGTTCTCAGCTTTGGGGTTAGGACGATAGGCAGGGAGCTGTTCATCCTGAACTCTGTCCTTGTAATCACGATCAAGGCAACGATCTAGTAGATTCGTAGGAATCCTCAAGAGAAGTGGTTCCTACCGTGGATTAGTCGATATTGGGATTCTTTTCTTCCAATATCGGATACCACGTAAAAACTGTGGGGCTGTGTCTGTGTTCTTCAATTTCGAGCTGTGGTGTAGTCTCTGCTTGTGTGTTTGTTTTTCTTGTTCAGGTACAGGGAAGTCTTCGAAGCAGGGAAGTGAACTCGATTGAAGAAGAGAAGCAGTAGACAGGCCTAAGGAAGTTTTGACAGGGCTTAAGTCCAGCTTACCAGAGAACCAACAAGTGGGCTTCAAGCCCAAAGTTGTTTTAGCTAATTATAATTTCGTCTGGTGTTTATTGTTGATTATTTTCAATATTCATTTCTTGCACAAAATCGAAACACCTCCTCAGAACTGTGTTCCTTCACTCGATCACCAACTGTGTCGATTAGGGTTTTTGTAGGAAACAAAATTCTTCAGTTCAAGCGGAGAAGAAGCTCGTAGGTCTCGCGCTCGACCCACTCACACAAAGTATACAAATCATAACATAAAAGTATACAAACTTGAATAACAAAAGTTACAAATACAAATCAATGAATAGAAAGTGTATAAATCATAACATAAAGTATACAAACTAGACAAACAAACATTACTAACATTACAAACATTACAATGTATACAAAATAGTAATATAAACATTACAAACATCACGAACTCAAATACTGTTGTCGGAAAACCATCCACCACCGTCTCTGGTCGCCGGAAAATTGCTCCGCCGTCGCCGGAAAATTGCTCCGCCGTCGCCGGAAAAGCAAGCTCTCTCTCTCTCTCTCTCTCTCTCTCTCTCTCTCTCTCTCTCTCGGAATTCCACTGGAATAATGATAATGGCCGATGGAGAGAGAGTCTGGGGCAATTGCCCTGCAATAATGGCGGATGGAGAAGAATTCTCCTGCCCAGAATTTTTTTGCCCGGAAATTGGACGGAGGCGGCGCAAGGAACGGGGCCGGAAATTGGACGGAGAAAGGAGGCGGCGCGGACATGGACAGCTGATTTTTTTTATATTCATTTTATAATTAAAAATAAATATTAAACATGCAATTACTATGTTGTCCTTCCTTAAAATGAATTAATTGTAGCCTTAGGATTTTAATGAGCATGGAAGGCTCAGATTGACTTAGCCAAGTGACTAAGGGTACCCCTAGTCACCTGATCTTAGCCCATTAGAAACTCTTCGCCCCAAAACAAAAGGAAGCAGCAGAAGAACACCTTCAAAAGACAGCGCCAGCCCTCCTTAAAATAACAACAAAAAAACAGAGTGGAAATTGTTATAATATTTCCCGTGGCATGTGAAGTTCACGTGCCCCTCTTGTTCTTATTCTCTTGTGCTCATATTAAGAGAAATGTAAAAGGGAGGGTTAATACCTTGTTATGGCCTGAACTATGACCATGTAATCAACTTTGGCCAATGGTTTGAGAAATTAACATCCTGGCCCGATCTATGCAGCATATTGACAAAATTGGCCTGGAGAGTGGTTTGACCGTTTGTTTGGACGGTCAACACCGTTGACCGTTAGTCAACTGTCCAGGTCACTGCCATGTCAACAAAAAAAAATTACAATTTCATTTTTCTTTTTATTTCATTTACAAAAATTGAATAATTAAAAAAAAAAATCCAAAAATTTTGGCCCACCCATCCCCACCTTATCCCCTCACCTTCTTTCCTTTTCGATCAAACCCAACCCTATTCCATCTTCTTCCTCCTTCTTCCCCGACGAGCCGCCGCCTCCATTCTCTCCGACGCTGCACACAATACCAATCGAAGCTCAAGTTTCAATTTCTCCGATACTCTTTTCGCTTCGTTACCAAACATGAGGAAATGATATTGGTACCTTAACGAAGCGGAGAGGAAGGAGGTTTCGGAGGGAAGAGTGAAGGGTGGCCATTTCTTTCCTCCTCTGTCGCTCCACTTCCCTGTGAATTATGTTCTTCCTCATATTACCACTTGTGGGCGGCACGTCTTCAGCCACCGCGGCCGGTGGATCCGGGAACTGTGCGGCGGAGAAATTCGGGTTCCCCGCCGGATCCGTGGGTGGAGCAGGAGCGGTCTGGAAGGTGATGAGATCTTGTGGCAGTAGAGGTGGCGGTGATTGTGGGTAAGGAAGAGTGGTGAAGTCTGGTGGGAAGAAGATCAATGATGGATCCTCTTCACCGTCATGATCATGGTGAGTGCTACTTTGCTGGTATGAATCGTGGGGGAACATAAGATCTGATTATTACTATTTCTTCTCTTTTGGGATTCTGATAATCTTTCTTCCAGAGAGGATTAGGGTAACATGCGATTCTGATCAATTTTTTTAATGGAATAGGGTTGGGTTTGATCGAAAAGGAAAGAAGGTGAGGGGATAAGGTGGGGATGGGTGGGCCAAAATTTTTGGATTTTGTTTTTTTTAATTATTCAATTTTTGTAAATGAAATAAAAAGAAAAATGAAATTGTAATTTTTTTTTTGTTGACATGGCAGTGACCTGGACAGTTGACTAACGGTCAACGGTGTTGACCGTCCAAACAAACAGTCAAACCACGCTCCAGGCCAATTTTGTCGATATGCTGCATAGATCGGGCCAGGATGTTAATTTCTCAAACCATTGGCCAAAGTTGATTACATGGTCATAGTTCAGGCCATAACAAGGTATTAACCCTAAAAGGGAAATGTTTTTAATGAGAAGTAGAAAAGAAGACTTGGCTAAACAAGCTTGCTTGAGTCGTACGAAACTAGATAAAATCATTTTATTAAAGCAAGGGAAAAGGAAGGGAAACAAGGAAGGAAAGAAGGTAGCTAAGTAAGAAGCCACCCAACCATGACTATTCCTCATCAAGTCTTCTTTCTTCCTTGTTGTGTTGGGTTTGGCTTTAAATCTCTCACATGGCGATTGCGTGCAGGGAACAGAGTTTTAGCCGTAAAGAAATCTTCCCCTGCCCTTTCTCTGTATGCCATTCTGACATCTATCTAGCTTGCCTTTCAAGCCCCGATTTCTTTACCTTGATGCTTTCCCCTCTTCCCAATCCAACAATTTCATCCCACTTCTTCTCACAAAATGGCGCGAAGGATAATAGAACATCGATCGATGCACAGATCGAAACCAAACCCAGAAGTTCTTCGAGTGGAAAGCTAGCTACTTGACCATTCGAAGTCTGCGGATTCCATTGCATTACATGATTCATAAAGCTAGTAGTTTATGTCTGTCCTAGAATCGAAAAGAGACATGGATTGAGAGAGGTACAACTAATAATGGAAGCCAAAAAAAAAAGTACAACAATTATCAAGACAACATTTTCAAATGTTCCTTTGAACCTGAACTACACATAATCTATCCGGCCAATTCTATTACACCAAATTAAATCAAAGAATGGGGGAAAACAATTGTTCCTGTTAGGTTGAGCCACTCCCGCTAGAGGGGCTTTATTCCCTGGAACTGAATCAATTTACAAAAGGCCGAAGCTTTCCTTCTCACCCTGTTTCCATTTGAGGGGAGGGGAAACACTGGCAATGAATTGTTGTAAAACCAAAGTGTGAGTGTATTACAAAATAAACATTCTGAGAAATCAATTGTTCTTTCTGTTGTGCAATTTGTACAATTTTGTTGATGTTCTTGTCTGTCACCCTGTTCTGTGCCTTCCCATGTTCCCTGTCAAGTAGTAGTAGTATTCCCTTCCTTTTGTACACCAACTGAGATGTCCTCCATCTTCAAGCCTCCACCGCCTGCCCGTCAGTTATCTGCAGCATCGCCAAGGTTGCAGTTGCAGTTGCGGTAACTTGATTTTTGTTATGTTGCTTGGCTTGATGCTGCGACCAGTAGCCGTGTGCAGCCAGTACTCTGTCAAGAAGGTTCTGAGGAACTGGCTCACCCCTTCTTTGTTGCGGAGCAATCTGGGCTGTGTGGACCAATGTCTTCCATTTATCCTGTAAATCGGAGGGTCAAGCCAGAAGGAAGTCAGCTCAATTTGCTAAACGAAGTTCAGCAGGAGCTTGTATATATGGATTCAAGTTAACACACCAGGATCACTGAATTTCAGTATGTAAGTCTATGTACCTTTAGGTCAACATATGTTCGATGGTCAGCATTGTCAAAAGATCTTAACTTAACATCCCGCCACCTGCAAAAATATAAGAACCCTTTTGTGAGATTAAAGTTTAAGCAGAACAGGGATTCATGCAGTGTATAAGCTGGAAGGAGAATATTATATACCTTCCAGTGCCTAGTTCTTCAACGGCTTCGACAAGTGCCTCTACTTCCGAGACTGAGAATGGTCTCCTAGTTCGACGCTGTACATTCTCAGATCGCTTAGATTTCTGGTTGAGGGGAACAACAGCAAGTGCCTCAGCACTTGCTGGTTCAACTGCAACCAGAGCTTTGGAATCTGATGGTGGTTTGTTGTCAGCTACTACGTCAGCATTAGAGGAAAGTGGTTCCTGATCACTAGTCTCACTGTTATTGTCAGCATGATTTGTTGTTGGAGAAGGAGCAAGGTTGAGCGAGTCAATAAGCTTCAATGACTCTACAATTGGAGTTTCTGGGGACCTGAGGAAACAAAGTAAGTAGCTGAGAATCACATGTGTCTTGTGACATAAACCATTTTGTCTTGCCGAGCAAGGCTAACATGAGACAGCAATAATCCTTAATAGTTAATATAAGCCGACTGGGAGGAAAATCTTGACAATTGCTCGAAAAGAAGGTTTGAGTTACCTTGGTATAAGGTGGGATGTCTCACATGGTAAGATAGCGGGAGGCTCTTCACAGCATAAGGGTACAGGTGCTTGCACTGAATTAGGCTCCAAGGTAAAACCCAGAGTCTCGATATTTTCAGTAGAAGTGATGCCAGTCTGCAACAGGGTTCTGTTATCATCCCTGACCTTCTTTCCATGAAGAACCAGCCCGACACGTAAACCACCGCCAAGTAGAGCAGTCACAGCTTCCACGACAGTTCTCTGTAGCAAATTCAAAATTCAGTCTCACAAGAAGGGAAAAAGTGAAAAGGAACTCTAAGAAATATCTAGCGCCAAGCAATGACTAGCTAATTGGTTTCTGTTCGAGGAGAAAGAAAACAACAAAAACTAGCCTATGATGCAGGCACTTTCTGGGAGGCAACGAAAAAGTAGGCATGCGCGTTCAAATCTCAACCAGTAAGAGTGCAGATCCATACCTTGAGAGAACCAACAGTTGCATTTTCTGGGACGTCAATGAAAAGCTCTGGAATTTTGAAGGACTTGATGCTCAGTTTAACTGAAACAAGATGTTTAACAACTTATAAGAACCTTGGGATTCCAAGACAGTCAAAATTAAGGGGCAAAACCACAAACATTAATCCATCTCAGTACCATGAGAATCCTTCGACCGGAGCTGGGCTTGATGGCCAATAACTGGAGATGACATACCATTTTCTGCATAATAGTTACGAAATGTAAGCAAAAGAAACCAGCTGAAAGCTTAGAGAGATGGAGCACAAAATAGAAAACCAAAGAACTTCGAGAGTGAACAATAGAAATCAACACACCTCCATTACATAATACTGCTGAACCATTGTCTCCAGACATGCCTTTTTCAGGTGAATTGCAAACACTTTCACTGCTAAAACCCCCATCAGACGCTATAACTAAGCTACGGTCAGAAAACTTCCTCCTCTTGTAAAGAATATCGCCCTGAGTTTTGTCTGGATTGCAAGATAATTTCCTCTTGTGATGAAGAGGCTTCATCCCCAAATCTGCAAATAAAGAAATGAAACAGAAATGTAAGGAAAAAGCCAATACCAGAGATATAAATCATGCTCCAGAAAACAAGCAAACAGCCACTTACAAGGTTTCGTTAGCTCATAGTCTTTCAGCTTCGGAGCTGCTTTCCAGTATTTGGATGACAGTAGCTTTCTTATTCTTCTGTCTCCAATTCTAGAAGAAGGCTTAAATGCCTTTCTTCTGTTGCTTAGTTTATTAAACCTAAAAAAGTTTTCATCATCATCTCTAATACCTAATTTAACATCATTCCCGTGCTTCAAATCAGAAGCACTGGGAAGAGAATTCCCGTGGGATAACACTTTGACAGTGTTGGCTGAGTTGACCAATGCAGGATTCTTCGCACTCAACTTCATGGGATCCTTTGAACTGCAGGCATTATCAAGGATCAACCCCCGAGTCTCCATCCCATCAGCCAACGGCTGTCTTCCGAGCCCACTTTCTGGTTTTGCATCACAAGTCTCTACAGAAACAGGAGAGACTCCCTCCACCTTAGCAAGTACCTTTTCACATTGGATCGGCTTCTCATCACCATTCCCTTTCTCTGAGGAATCCGCATTCGAGACAGTTGAAGACCGCTCCAAAATGGAATCACTCTCAGCTGGCGGTGGAATTTCCTTTAGACTTTGCCTACTGTCACTGCTAGGTGAATCGTAGTCAGGGAGGAAAATGCTCTCTTCGCAGCTTCCCAAATCCAAGCACTCTGTTTTCACAGGTTTGGTCTCAACTCGCTCTCTTTTAACAACACCGTCACTAATTGCAGGCCGGTCATGTGCGTCAGATGCATTACTAGAAGCAGATGAGCTTTCACTTTCCTGCAATAGCTTTCCGGCTAGAGAAGCAAGTAACTCAAATGCGCAGATTTGGCTGTCCTCAACTATTCTCTTACGAAAAGCCCTCTGCCAAGTAAAATCACGAAATGCCAGTCGTTAGAAAGACAATTACTTTATGCGCAATAGCAGAGTTAAGTCAGAAAAGAAAAGCATCATAAGTACTTACTCTGGCAGATCTGGGAGCCTTGGGAACAGAAGGGAAGTGGAGACTGTTAAAACCATGAGATTGCCTCTTCTTCAACACCATATCTCAAACATACATACCAGATGGGCACTTATTAAACAAGAATCGCTGCAATTGGAATCCACAGCACTGCGATCAATCCAAAACAAGGAGAATGTCAACAAGCTGTTTTGCCTTCAATTTTGACTACATTCAATCCAGAAATTTATGCAAACAAAAACAATAAGCATTGATCTGCTAATCGACATGAAACCCAAATCAAAGTTTTTTGAAACAACAATCTCAATATCAGCCTGAACCGATCAACGAGAGATCCATAACGCCATCACTGAACCACGATCAAATTATCACCCGATCAAAGCACATCCGAATCAACCATGGAAAATTCAACCCCAATTTGATAAGAAGAAAGAGAAGACGCCAACTTGACCTTAAGGACAACATGAACAGCAGCAACAAAAGCAATTAGTGCAATCAGACCATTCTTATTTTCGATTGACACAAATCTACAACAGACCCATCAACACTGGGGTCAGGCAAGCAATTACTGAACGATAATTCACCTCCAGAATAAGAATTCTTGCTCCAAGATAACTGTCTACCAACGTTTCATCAATGCCCACAGTAAACAAAAAAACAACAGACGAAGCACCAGATGAAGAATTTCAATTTTAGAAAAAACATCCCATCTCAGGAATTCAATAAAAGCTGATTGACTTTTTTTTTTTTAACAAAAAGCACTGAAGCTCCACATCCCCTTCGAAAAACCAGCAGTTTCCTCCCCAACCCAGAATTCCTGCAAACCGCCTCGCATCCATGATCAGATCCCGATCTCAGGCCAGGAAAGCAGAACAAAAAAAAAAATCACTTCCATCCTCAATTTTTTGTTTTCGTATCACGGCAAGATCGAAGCACACAGTTGAAACCCACAATCGGAGCACAGAACAGAAGCAAGGAAAGAAGAAAGTTGAGCAGGGAATTCCACCAACATTAACCTGATCCAACACTTACCACTACTGACCTCGTGATTAACGTCAATCTCCGGTGAATTCCGTCCAACAATATGTACAGCGAGAGCCCAGATCGGGATCGGAGGTGGAGATCGGACCAAGGAGAAGAGATCAAGCAAGAAAATTATCAGTTCCAATTCAATGCAACAAGATGTGAAAAAACGAATCCGCCATCACCACCACATAAAAATCAATCTCTCCGCAGAATTATGCATTTTCGTTTCTCATTTTATTTTTTCCCAGAAGAAGAAAAACAACAAGAGGGGAAAAGGAGAAAAAGGGGTAACAGAAAAACCTCTCTCAATAAAACACGCACAGGTAGAAGGGAGGAAAAACCATGAAAGAAAGAAGAAGAGAAACAACAGTGGCTTGCTGCCTTAAACCCCTTCCTTCGTCGTCTCTTTTTATATCCTATGATCCTATCAATGAAACTTTTGACCACAAAACCGGACCAGCCGGTAACCCGGCGCCCGTGTCCGGGCAATAGCCGGTCAGCGATAAACCCCTTAACCTCCTCACCCTGCGGAATATTTCAAGGAAGTGATGGGTTTTGGCCACGTGGAGCGCTGCCGTATTTTGCTATTTATGTTCAAGGATAATGAGGCGAAAAGAAAAGGAAAAAGAAAAGAAAAGGAAAGAAAAAAGGGAGCAAGGGATTTGGTTTGCGTGGGCGCGTCCCTTGGGGAGGAGATTGTGCACTCGCGCTGTGATTGGTGGAACGGGCTTGAAGTGGGCCTGGTGGGCTTTAAGGGTGGGACGCTCGGTCCACTAACTGCAATCTGTGGCTAAGGCTAAAGGAGAGAGAGAGAGATGGAAAATGTTATCCAAATAACCGTAAATAATGAGAACGGCAGTACAGTTATTTTTTCCAAGGAATATTCCATTGTCCCAAATTCGTGACTTATCCCTTTCAACGCCACCAAAAATGAATGTAATTTTAGATTAATTAGTGGTTTTGAAAAAAAAAATCAATTGATTTTTCAAAAGGTTAATAAATATTAGAATTTAATTAGACTTTTCCCTAATGTCAATTAGTAAAATAAGACTATTTTTTTTTTCAAAGGCGTCTCAACAAGGACTTGATAAGATATTGATAGTTATTTTCACTGTTATTCTGTTTGTTGTCATTTTCCAATAAGCTACGAGAATTATTAATTGGAAGATTTGCTCCCCAAAAAGAGCTTATCTTAATAAACAAATGGGAAAAGCAAACTCATTCCAGTGCCAAAAGAAGCAAAGGGAGGGAGAGAGGGGCAAAACACGATGTGTTATATAGATTCATGGCTTCCTAGTTTCTTCTTGCTGAAATTTCTGGATTTATGTGCTCTTATTAACTAGTGATTCATTATTTAGGGGTCGTTTGCTTGAGGGTTTTGGTGATGGATTTGGTCATGGAAATATATCCATCATGGACTTGAACCGAAATCCATCGTTTGCCTTGGGGAATTAGGAAGATGGAATTTGTGGGGCCCACCTCTTTTGGGGTTCCAAATCCGTGGACCCCACGGACTTGGAAGTTCCACCTCTTGAGGTGGGATTTGGGTGATGGATTAAAATCCATGATGGTAAATTACCTTTCTACCCTTAATTATTTCTTTAATTACAAATTTGTCCTATTTTAATTCAATGGTCATGCAACTGTAAACTTTTATAATTTTGTATTTTATAAATATGAGAATTTATTATTTCATTTTGTAATATCGTATTTTATTTAAATATGAATGCATGTGTGATTTGTTAGATTCACCTAGAAACACTTTATGCTCATCTTGTACATTATTATTTGATTGATTGTCGAATTCCACATCGGTGAGTTAGCAAGAAGATGATGAGTTGTAGCAATAAAGCGAGCAATTGGATGCAATTGATACATAATATTGTGTACATTATTAGATGAATTGTTAATTAGTGCCAAATTGTAATACATTTCTATATTTGTAGTTGAATTATTAATCCATATAGTGGTAAAGATTTTAAAATTTCTTTCTATGTTTTGGATTAGTTTTAAATGAAAGATTTGGATTATAATATAGAAATATAATTAAATAAGGGTAACTAGGTAATTTGTATTTAATATCCACAAATCTAATCAAACAAAGTCCATAATCAAATCCATCAAGCAAACAATAGACTTGTTCAAATCCATAATGCCACCAAATCCATCATATATCCATGGTTTTCCAAAACCCAGGTTTTACCAAAACCCTCATTTTTCAAATCTATGAAGCAAACGACACGTTAAGCACAAAAATCCTGAGTTGGTGGAGCGTCTCCAGCAAGATTTTAGTTCGATCCGCAACGACAACGATGATCATTGGAGTAGCACTTGTCATTGGTAAGATAGCCTAGTAGTGTTGTCACGGGGTAGGTCGTCCCGAGATATATGAGGTCCAGGGTTCGATGCCCCTCGAAGTCCCATGTGATGTTCCAGAGGACCTCAAGTTTGGTATCGCTCCGCCATATCACAAAATGTGGTGTGTGTGGGGATGTCCCTAGCTAATAAAAAAAATCCGACCCTTTAATTTCTACTTCTTACATTATTATGGTTATATTTGTTCCATCGTATTGTATCATTTAAACTTTTTTTTACAGAATTTTAATCAATAGGTGATTTTTAGCAATATGAAACGGTCAACCCACATTTAAATTATCAAGCCAAATTTTCTCACTGTTAACTTTTTCAATACAATCTCTACTACGTCGATACAATCTCTACTACGATTTTATCATATACTTGGACTGGATTTGTACTTGGCAATTACAATTTCGTGTATTTGATAATTCACAAGTACAACTAGCTCGTGGCTGGCTGGGGCTGCATGAGCTAGCTAGCAAAGCTAAGATAGCACGTAATGATATCTAATAAGTTCCCATTTGCTCTCACTTGCTCGAGGATGTTTTATACTAATTCTATATAAAATTGGTAACTATAAAAAGGTCCACAATTATCAAAACTAGATAGTTTCTTCTTTGACTGAGTTGCCTTTTTTCAGAAAGTGTAGATGTGAGTCTTCATCATATCTTCAACATAATGTTTATAGGTTAACTACTAGTTCATGTGCCAATGGGATTTTGATTAATTCAAACTTATTTCGTATTTGACTGTGATGAATACAATTTAATACCATTCCAAATAGTAATATTCAATATGGAGTCGGTATTATTCATGTGTATCTGAAAATGACGAATATGGGATGATATTTCAAACCTCTCTAGATATGAGTATAAATTTAAATATATGAAGATGAAAATGTGGACGGTTTAAGAAAATTCGTAAAAAACCCTCCCCATCGTCACTTCTATCTCTGTACCTTTATTCCTTTATTTTGCATCACATAACAAATTGGGTTTGACAAAATAATATCAGTCTTCGTATTCAAGGATTGTGGCTTGAAAGTAATAGCTTATAAAGTAATAATTTATTCTGAGTTATTTTATAAAAAGAAATTAGAGGCTTAAAGTATCAAACATTGCTCAATTGTTACTGCTGCCATTCAATATACATCGTAGAGGTAAAAAAAAAAAAAGAGAGAGAGAGAGAATCTATCGGTGGCGTCAGTTGGAAGAAAATGACTATTCCTGCCAACTCTTGTACTTCCTTCCTTCCTTTCTATCTATCCGCCTCTCTTTTTGTTCTCATTTCATTACTAGCTTTTCCTCTTAAGTGGAATGAAACTTTAGCCTATTGATGTTTACACCAAACGAATATTATCTAAATAATAATTAACATCAATGTTAACTTTCTACTAATATCTTTCGGTGGAGAATATTTGAACGGAAGTCTTACAGGTGGGTTATTCAATAATAGTAATCAAAATTTGCCATAGAGAAGTTCACCGCAACTTAGGTTCTCGATGATTTCACTCTGTTTGTGACCGTTTTGGACTTCTGGTATCTTAAATCCATCATCTGGTATATAATTAACATGCACACTTTTGTTTTTTTGTTTTTTTTTTTTTTGTTCTTTTCTTTTGTTAATGGTGTCTTGTCCAATAAAGTGACGTTAGGTTGAACTAATCCCATGCTGCTAATCAAATAATGTCGAGTAATAGCTACTGCTTTACAGCGGGCAGGGGCCAAGAGGTAACATGAAGATTGAAGATTAATGTTGACGTGGGATATGTACTTATTTGTACATTTTATTTTATTGCTTGATGACTTTGTTATTTTGCCTAATACCCGTGTCTTGGTGGAAGGGTATATAGGCTTTGTGCTGGCCGAACTAGAACCCTAATGAGGTTTAGCGGCTGTGTTCTTCTTCTTTGAACAGAGACATAGTGAAACCCTACCTGAGAGCTCTGCTCTCCGTGGACTAGTCGCGATCTTCGGGGAAACCACGTAAATCATCGTGTTCTTTTATTTTCCGCGACATCAAACTTATTATGGTATCAGAGCTGTAACGATTCAGTGTAGTTTCTTACCTCCGTCATCATGGGCACGAAGGACGAGGAGACTAGCGGCGGCAAGACAGTCATCTCCAGTGATGATGTGATCCCGATCAGCTCTCCCCTCTATCTGCATCCTTCGGAAAATCCCGCTCAATTGTTTGGCGGTGACCTGCTGAATGATTCGAACTATGGAGAATGGGTCAATGACATTACGGAGACCCTAATCGCCAAAAATAAGTTGGCGTTTGTTGATGGCTCTCTTCCCCGCGCCAAAGCTGGTTCTGCTATACGACAGGATGCCTGGGATCGTTGTGATGCGACGGTAAAGGGGTGGTTGAAGACGGCCATGACGAAAGAGGTGCGTAACAGTGTGCGGACGGCGGGGACAGCGCGAGCCATCTAGGCTGACTTGCAACACCGTTTCAGCCGTGGTTCCTCGCAGCGCGCCTATGAGCTGCGGCGTGGCCTCAGTTCTTTTCGCCAGGAGAAGTTGTCAGTCTCGGCGTTCTACACCAAGCTGTGCTCGACCTGGGACGAGATGCAGTCAATCAGGGGCGTACCTCGTTCTACTTGTGCGGGCTGTACGTGCGGCGGTTGCTCATGTGACTGGCTCCGCGTCTATCACGCTCAGCAAGATACCGAGCGTTTGTTTGAGTTCTTGATGGGTTTGGATGACGCATACTCCGTCATCCGATCGCAGATTCTTGGTACGAGGCCTACTCCCACGCTAGCGGACGCCTATCAAATGGTTTCGGCTGAGGAGCAGCACCGCAACATCACCAGTTCGCGGCGCCCGGCGGTGGATACAGCTGCTTTTCAAACTCTTGCCGAGCGTGAGCCACGAGCTGCCGATCGTGAGTCCCGAGCCGAGGGAGATAAGCCCCGCTGCTCGCACTGTAATCGGCAAGGGCATACGCGCGAGACCTGCTACAAGTTGATCGGCTACCCCCCGGGACATCCTCG